GCTGGTTCCGCCATGATAACTGCACAAATATTGCCACTGCGCTAGCAACGAGCATGCCTTTCAATGGGGGCGTGTAGCAGTTCTCGCCGTAAAGCAGGACCGACTCTCGCGAGACTTCTGAGCCTGCGGGTGCGGGCCGAGGGCTCCTGCAATTGCAGGTACGGTATTTCCCCTACAGACCACCAGGGCGGCCGAGAAAACCTTTGTTCCACCTGAAATGACTCATTTAATCATCCAAAACGTTATGGAACACATTAATTAACTGAAAAATGTTGCATAGTATGCCTTTAAATAAAATGAAAACTAAAAAGGAGAAAAAACTCCTGAAATAAACATATTTGCTCTCCATTCAAACAGATAAGTTAAACGATCGACTAATGGAATGTTTAGCATCTATAATAAGACAATTAAGGGAGATTTTCCTTTTTATTATATTCCTAAATCCTGATCCATTCACGGATCACTTACACTAATTTCAAGAACTTACTGTTCATTAACCTTTGACAGTAAAAGTGAATAAATCGCTCAGTCAGATGGAAAGAGGCTAAAGATCCGCTGCCTGTTATCTGTAGCTCCTCTGTCAGGATGTAGAGATGCATTAAAAACAACCTTCCTCTGTTTTGTAATCCTGCTTTTATTATTGAAAAAAATGTTTTGACAAAAAAGAAAAAACGATATGCTTTCCATCAGTTGGTCCTTAGATGTGGTGTTTCTGCTAGAATCAAAGGGAACACTGCAAAAATGATCTCAAAATAAGTAAAAATGTCTTAAATTAAGGCTATTTACCCTTAATTTGAGCAGATAAATAAGATGGAATTAGTATTTTTACTTTTAAAATAAGGTATCTAGATATTATGCTCTTAAAATAAGACAATGCAATTGTTTTTTTCTTATTTTAAGTGTAAATTGTGTCTCACTTAAATCCCTAATTCAAGAAAAAATGCACTTATTATAAGAAGAAATGACTTATTTAGATTTCATTTTTTTGCAGTGAAAAGAGAACGGTTTGTTTGAAAGTTCAAACAAGGATGTGGCGCAGTGGTCTGCTCCAAAGCTGCTAGCTTTTCCAAGCATTTTCCTCTTCAGCCTCTCATCTGTTGTTGTTCGTCTCCCCCTTTAGGAGCATTGTCCTCTGGCCTGGGGCAACATCAACCTTTTTGATTACACTCACACGCTAGTAGCAGGAAAGATGGCTCTCAACCTGTGGCCGGTCCCACACGGCCTGGAGGACCTGCTCAATCCCATCGGGGTCACAGGCTCCAACCCCAACAAGGTGAGCGCTCCGGGGGTCGGCCCGTCAGCCCCGTGGGATTCCGCCTGGATAGAAAAGCTGTTCAGAACCTAAATAACCAGCATCACCTCTCTCTCTCTCACCCACACAGGAAACGCCTTGCTTGGAGCTGGAGTTCGACCATTTCAGCTGCCCTGTGAAGTTCCCCAATATGAGCCAGATCGAGGAACACGCCAACTGGAATATATCTACAGAGCTGGGCTTTAACTACAGTCACAACGGATCGGTAAGAGCAGGGGGGGGAAAAGAAACGCAGCTCCGTTTCTCTGAAGGGTTTGACGTGGTTTTTTTTTTTTTCAGAGTAACAGATTTGCGCGGGACAACCCTCTGACTGAGAGCGATAATGAGCAGCTGAGACAGGTGTGCAACCGAGACCCGCTGTCTGAGATCACTGAGCAGGAGAAGGACTTCCTGTGGAGGCACAGGTACATTTCTCTGTGTCTGCTTTAAATGGCCAGAGGGGAAACTTGGTGATTTCATATCAGGTCTGATTAGTCAGCTGATAAAACTAGTCTAAAAACAAGTTAAGAATTCTTAAAATAATAATATGCCTAAATTAAAATGAATTGATATCATGCACTCGGAATAAGATAATAGAGCCAACTTTTCTTATTTTAATTAAAAATCATATTATTGCGTTGATAAAGTCCTACCTGCTTAACCTGTTCGCCAAGGGATTTTTTTACGTTTTTAAATGACGTTTAAATGCCTAAAGGCTTCCTTGGAGCTCACACTGTACGTCTAAAAACCACATTGGACTGAGCTCCGCAGTGAGATGGCGCTACTCGGACTCGTCTCTCCGGAAGCCAAACGTGTAGAAGAGGAATATGAGGCTCATTACAGTGAAACAAGCTGCCTTGGAAATTTGTGCAATTTTGTGCTGTAAGCAGGGTTTCGCTAACCTGACTCCCCGCCAGATGGA